CCCAAAATCAGTTTCAGCAGAATGCAGAAAAATAAAATTCAGTTTCTGGTAAGTTGTCGTGATTATGAACTTGTCCTAAAGATTTGTCTGGATGGTAGTTCTGTCTAGGAATGAGTTACAGAGATAACAGGAAAGTAGGTACAGAGATAACAGGAAAGTACCAGATTTTTACCCCATGAAGATTTTAAAATATTAGTTTTGGTAACTGGAAACTAGGGTGCACTTCTTATGCTGAGATGGAATTTTTTCAAGAATTTGAGCCAAAAAGCTAAAGCATGTACAGTATCTTGATTTAGGGCATGTGGTTCTTGAATAAATAGGGGTACATTGACAGCTGTTAAATTACACAAAGTCTGATTTCTGAGGCACTCATTAAAAATTCATATTTTCATTTTATTGAATCTTGGTGGGTGAGAACTAATATATTTATTCACAGAAATCCGCCATGACCTTAAAGAAAGAGAATTCAGAAACTGACGAAATTGATGAACCAGCCGTTGAACCTTTTACTTTTTTAGTTGCGTGATAAGTGAGGTAATTCTTCACTTGTTGGCACTGTTTCAACAGAGTGATGGGCCACGATTGAAGCCACTGGCCATTGCTTCTGGCGGCGGCGGGGCGCCATCCCTGATAACTGAAGACAACATTAAAAACATTCACGGCAAAGGGATCCACTTGGGTGACATGGCAGCTGTGGACGACTTTTTTGAATCTCTCGCTGGTAAATTCAACCCAGGTTTTTTTTTGCTGCAGCATTTTTTTGAATATAGATTTTTTTCAAGTTTCAAAGAGGATGAAGAATCTTTTTTGTGTTCTACCATCTTTGTTGAGTGACTTGACGTGCAATTTTTAATTGTATTATTGTGTTATATTGAATTATTTATTTTGCGAGACAGTTGTATTTTTTTTTTTAGCTTGAGGTTGAATAGAATACATAAGTATAGAAAAATTATGTAAGCGTATACAAATTACAGGAAATTGTACTTTATTGGGCCTTAATCGCTTATCAAATGATTTGACAGGATGAACTTGGAAGTAAGGGTTCATTTGCCCAATTAGTCTTCTGTTTTTTTTCAAAACACATCAAAATACATTTTTTTGCTCTTTGATTTCCAGTGTCAGCAAAATTATAGCCAAAAGGTCCCCAGAAAATTTGAGGTTTGAGTGGGGAAAAGCCTTTGAGTGAAGGAAGATTTTTAATGTATTGTTTCTAAGGAAATTCAGACAGGGACTCAAAAAAAATTTTTGCTGATGATTGCATTTGATTTGAGGAGGTTTGAGCTATCGAAGTTGAATTTTTCTGAGTGAAAATGAAAGGGATTCTCAAATAGATTGGACTCATCATGTTTTTGAGTTGGAGAATGTGGCCTGATTTGTATTGGTTAATGAAGTGAAAGTAAATTTTTTGGCCTAATAATTTGTATAAGTCCTCTCTGCACAGAGTTGCCTGATCCCTTGTGGGATGAATTTTTTTCATTAATTAAAATACCATTTACATTAATTAAAATTAATTAAAATTAATCACATTAATTTAAATACGTATATGTTCTAGAACGTATGTTCTAAAATGTAACCTTAGTTTAATAATAAATGGACCATATTCTATTCAACCACAAACATTTTAACATTTTTTAGAGGTTTTTGTCTTGGGAAGTTTGAGGATGTGTAAAAGTGTTACAGGATTACTTCTTCCGTTTTGAAAAAAAAATGTGTATGTTTGAATTGAATCAAGAATCATGTCGAAAGAGACTGAAAAGTCCATTTCATTTTGCAGGCCATGGTGGAGGCTGGTCAGGCCACAAGAGAAACGCCAACAGTGCCGGCTCGCTTTTGGAAGGTGCCCAGGGAGGGAAGCCATGTGGCCAAGTTGCAGCATTTGCCGAGCAGTTCAGCATCCCCCTCTCTGAAGGCGGCTTTGGAGGGGGAGGTGGCGGCTGTTTTGGCGGCGGCGGCGGAGGAGGATACTATGGTTCGTCTTCCGAAACGGATGCCTTGACGCAAGTTTAACTCGTTTTTTTTTTTTCTTGTGTGCAGGCGGCGACGGAGGAGAGGACGTGTCGAGTAACGGAGAAGGCGGCTGGAGTTTTGCCTCGGGCACCGACGTGGCCATTCAGGAGGGGGCCAACGAGGGGCCAGGGGAAGTGGTTATTTTGCCGGCCATGTCTGGGAAACGGTGTGGGTGCGAGTACCAGTGTCTGCCGCTGAGTGCGGACATGGTCAGCATCCGGTGTTTGTGTCCCTCGCACTTGTTTCTCGGGCCAGACGGATTCTCCTGCATAGGTTCGTATTTTATTGTTTTTGAGTGACCAGAGGGGGGAGGGGGGTGTTATTGATCCAATTTATAGAGAGAAATCTTGTTACAATAACAAAAGTTTTTGGGAGAACTTGGAGCAAAAGCTTATTGTGCTGAATGATTTTTTTAATACGATATTTTTCAAAATTAATGACTGGAGGGTGTTTTCGTATTAGAGCTGTCTATAATCAATGATGTTTTATTTTTTTTGGCATGCTCAGATTTTGTTGTTGTATTGTTTGAAATACTTAAAAATCGTTTGAAGATTGTTGATTCAATTTATAGAGAGAAATTTTGTTGCAATAACGAAAGTTTTGGGGGAACTTGGGGCAAAAGCTTGTTGTGCTAAATGATTTTTTCAGGACGAGATTTTTCACAATTAATGACTGGAAGGTGTTTTCGTATTAGAGCTGTCTATAATCAATGAAGTTTTATTTTTTGGCATGCTCAAATTTTTTTTCGTTATTGTTTGAAATACTGAGGGATCTTCTGAAGTTTCTTGATTCAATTTATAGAGAAAAATTTTGTAGCAACAACAAACGTTTTGGGAGAACTTGTGGCAAAAGCTTGTTGTGCTGAATGATTTTTATGACGAGATTTTTCAAAATTAATTGCTGGAAAATATTTTCTCGTTGCAGCAGACCATAAATTAATGATGTTTTATTTTTTTTGGCATGCTCATATTTATTTTCGTAGTCTGAAATACTGAGGGATCTTTTGAAGTTGATTCAAGTTATAGAGATAAATTTTGTTGCAATAACAAAAGTTTTGGGAGAACTAGGGGCAAAAGCTTGTTGTGCTAAATGATTTTTTCAGGACGATGTTTTTCGAAATTAATGACTGGAGTGTGTTTTCGTATTAGAGCCGTCTATAATCAATGATGTTTCATTTTTTTGGCATGCTCAGATTTTGTTGTTGTATTGTTTGAAATACTTGAAAATCGTTTGAAGATTGTTGATTCAATTTATAGAGAGAAATTTTGTAGCAATAACAAAACTTTTGGGAGAACTTGGGGCAAAAGCTTGTTGTGCTGAATGATTTTTTGATACGATATTTTTCAAAATTAATGACTGGAGGGTGTTTTCGTATTAGTGCTGTCTATAATCAATGATGTTTTATTTTTTTTGGCATGCTCAGATTTTTTTTGTATTGTTTGAAATACTTATGGATCTTTTGAAGTTTCTTGATTCAATTTTATAGAAAGAAATTTTGTTGCAATAACAGAAGTTTTGGGGGAACTTGGAAAAACAGTTTGTTGTGCTGAATGATTTTTAATGACGAGATTTTTCAAAATTAATTGCTGGAAAATATTTTCATGTTGCAGCTGACCATAAATCAATGAGCTTCTGCTTTTTTGAAATGCTCAGATTTTCTCTTACCAAGTTTTGAAATACTGAGTGATCTTTTGAAAGAAAAACGTTTAAACCTGCATTCCATCAATCACAACATTCTATTTATTTTGGGAGGACGTTTTTTGGAACCACTTGAAAGGATGTTTGTTATTGATTCAAGTTTCTAACCATATGCTACAAGAACCACGCAGTCACCTTTGGGATCAGAAATTTCAGACTGTGTCTGTCCTAGTTGGGGAAATTTCTACCTAGAGAATCTAATAAACATTCCTCAAGTTTATTAGACTGGAATTGGGAATTATGTGATAACAAAGAATGGCTTAACATGCACTCAATGGGCTTTCTGCAGGGACTTGGGAGAAAATTTGTTTTTTTGTGCTAGAAAATTATTTGTAAGGGTACAGTATTTGTTATGAGATATTTCTGTATTGAGTCCTCGCATGACGAAAGGCCTGTGCTAAAAAAAATCGCATGAAGACATTTTCAATGGGGAAACAGTGACTCACACAAAGACATTTTTTGGGACAAAAATTCTTGAATTTCAAAAAGTTTTTGACTGAAACTTGAAAATTTTTTTTTCTTCAAAAAATTGAGGAAAATAAGAAAGCTAGAGTAGATTTCTGCCTCTTCTTACCTTAAAAATTTCTGAAATTCGGAAAGGTCGGAGTAAAAATCCATCAAAATTACTTGAATTCCATGCTTCCAAATTTTAAATTCACTATTTTGTGCACCCAAAAAAAAAACTAGGAAAAATAAGCAGGCTTATTGTTTTCTTGGTGAACGTATGGAGCGGATGAAATAATTAACAATGCAACCTTGAGGAAAATTGCGCTTCGCATAACGAAACACTTTCAGGAATGAATTATTTTTGTTTTGCGGAGACACACTGTATTCTATCGTGTCTGGGCAGATTTTTGGTGTGGAGCAGTAATAATTTTTAAATTGAATTATTAGTTCTTTCTCGATACTGGGCTAATTTTCTGTGAAACTCGTGCGTTGAAGTGAGAATTATTCTTGTTTGAATGTGGCATTATCATTTTTTTTGTGCAGCTGATGTTACAGTTGGCCAAGCAGTGGATCTCTCCGTCATTATCCCCCTGGCGGTGATTGCAGTCATTATGTTCGGTGTCTTCATTGCGCTGTCCTTCAGCATTTGTACGTCACTCGAATATTTTCCCGTCATAATCCGCGTTGTTCATGTTCATGTTTGTCTTTTTCTTTTCACTTTGTTGCGCCCTATTATCATCGCAGGTAATCAGTATCAAAAGAGACGCCACAGGATTATGGGACTCACGAATCGACCCTTGTCCTCAATGGCGCTCAATCGAATGGGGGCGCAGTTTGGAGATGGAACGGGGGCGACGTTGTTGGGCGCCCCGACTGCTCTGCCAGGCGGCGCCGTCATGGACTCCAACATGGTGACCGAGTACAATCCGAATTACGAGTTTGGCGGCATTTGCTCGCTGCAGGATCTCAAGACTGTTCCGAGGGACAGACTCTCGTTGGTCAAGTGAGTTTTTTTTTTGTTGGGCATTTTTTTTTATCATGCTAAAAATTGAAAATGACGTGTTTTTTTTATAGGGGTTTGGGACAAGGAGCGTTTGGTGAAGTTTACCAAGGTTATTTGAGGAATGACGAGAATGCTGAGATGGCAGTTGCTGTTAAGGTACGCGAGTTATTTTTAGTTTATTTTTTAGGTGATGTAGTTTTGAGAGAGAACGTGTTGTTTTTTTTCCCTCTGATTTTCGTTCAATTTAATTTATTTATGGAGTACTGTATAGTGACATTTCGTTGTAGCGAATTTTTTTTCTTGTTCGCGGCTGTTTCTTCATAGTGTCAGTTGTGTAGGCATTCCTTTTTAACGAAGTAATTTACCTCTGTATACTCAGTATAGCAAATTTCTGCCTTGATTATGTGTGCAAGGGCCTTGGAGATTTTCAATTATTGGCGTAAAATACTTGTAGGAAAACCAAACTTGTGCATAATTTAAAAATCTTCCGAAATATGAATGCTTATCTTTTTTGTTTAGAAAATTTAGAAATGAAGAAAGTATGAAGCTTTAATAGAAATTCATTTGAGAATTGAGAAATGGCGAATTTTTTCAGATAAAAGTATGTTTGGTAGGATACTGCTCTGTTTTAGGGAACATGCAATTCTTGATGAATATAATGGTCTTCTTTCACATGTATTTTCTGTTTATTTAATCTTGTACTGCTGTAAGATCAGTATATTTTAAGAAAATATAAGGTCTGAAATAAGATGATCATACAGTATTTAACATTTTTTATTTTTCTCCGTCAAGAAAAATATGAAAATGCAGAATATTCTTCACAAATCTGTTGTGGAATTGCTTTGAAGCATGTTTTACACGTTACCCACAAATTTCAGTCACACATGCTGAATGAACCATGAATCTCATTATAATGAATTTTGCCTCTGGTCCCTGAGACGTTGTTGTAAAAAGATTCTACTGTTGTGTGTGTGTGTTTTTCTTTTGTGGTACAAATACTGTATGCACCACACATGAAAATGCGAATATTGGTATATTTTGAATTTGAAGATGAATGGATGGTTACAGTGAGTGATCAATTTGTCAGTTACACGCGTCTCAAAGTTTTATTAAGAGGAATTGTTGAAATTTTTAATGTACAACGAATCACTGGGCATTTCTTCTTTAGAAACTTGCCTGTAAAATTCAGAAGTTAATGAAATTCCGTCAGAGGTCGCCAGCTACGATTAAAAAATGGTCTACAATTTTCATATTATTTTTTAAATGCTTTGAACATGGAATTATATTTTCGTGGAGTTTTTGTATCAATGAATTTTTTTCCCTTTTTTTCAGACTCTTCCCGATTTGTCGTCTGATCAAGCGTCGATGGATTTCCTAATGGAAGCGTTGATCATGGCTCAGTTCTCGCATCCCAACATCGTCAAGTTCATCGGTGTCTCGTTCGAATGCTCTCCGAAGTTCATTGTGCTGGAATTGTTGGCTGGTGGCGACCTGAAGACCTTCCTGAGAGAGTCCAGGCCTACAGTGGTGCGAACTGAACCCATCCCTTCTTTAATTTTTAGATTTTTTTTTCTGCGAGTTCAACCAAATCCTGAACTTATTGAAAATTCCTCAGTGAACTGAACAAATTAATTAGAGATACATCTATCGTTGAAAATCCAGTTCGTTGATGGCATCAAGTTGAATATGGCCAAGTTTTAAGCCATTTTTTTGAATGTAGCACGTTACTAGCGACATCTAGATGACCAGAAAAGAAAATCCCGGATTTCCGGACAGCTCAAAAATATTGTTTCACGCTTTTTTTTTCAATGTATAGGAGAGACCGTCGCCAGTGACGATGAAGGACCTGTTGTTGTGCTCAAGAGACGTGGCCGAGGGCTGCAGGTACCTGGAGGAGAACCATTTCATCCATAGAGACATCGCGGCCAGGAATTGTCTGCTCACAACGAAAGGACCCGGCAGGGTTGTCAAGATTGCGGACTTTGGCATGGCCCGGGACATTTACAGGGCCGACTACTACCGAAAGGGCGGTAAGGCCATGTTGCCCGTCAAATGGATGCCGCCGGAAGCATTCCTAGATGGCGTTTTCACCTCGAAAACCGACGTCTGGTGAGAGAGGGGAAAAAGACTGTTTGAAGAACTACTCTTCAGAAAGCTGCTAAACTACAACTGATTCGTTGGTTCTTAATTTTTGATCACAAATGCCAGCCGTAAAAGTCTTTTGAACAAAACTTTTCCGAGTCTTAACAAATATTATGAAACTTTGCCAGTCCATGGAAAATACAAGAAAAATGACGTATTTATGTTTGCAAACTTGGAATCGCAGGTCGTTTGGGATCCTGTTGTGGGAAGTGATGAGCTTAGGATACATGCCGTATCCCGGACGGGGCAACCAGGAAGTTATGGAGATTGTGTCGAGTGGCGGCAGGCTGGAGTCGCCGCCGAGGTGTCCCGCGCAGGTCTACCGCATCATGGATCAGTGCTGGGCGCCGATCCCGGAACAACGACCGAATTTCGTCACTATCCTCGAGAGAATAGGATATTGTCTCCAGGTGCGTATGCTGCGACACCTGTGGTTGTTGGGGAAAGTTTGATATGTCCGTAGTTTTGTTTTATGTTGGGTAGGTGTCGCCCTATTTGTGGTAGGTTTAATTTTAAGGAGAGGTTTCTCGATGGTCATGTGATCTCGGGCGTTCTGGTTTTTCTTTCTTTTTCCCCGCGAAAAAAATGCTCGTTTCCCCGACTGAAGACCTTCGCAATCTAATTCATTTTTTGCTCGTCCCTTATTAAAGTTTGATTTAAAGATGCGTGTCCGACTGATTCGTATTTTTTCTGCAGGACCCAGACGTGATTAACACGGCCTTGCCCATATGCACAGGCGTTATGGCCCTGGAAATGGACACGACCATCATCAGGCCGCCGCCGAGCACGGATGGGTCCCTGCCCTGCCTGTCCCTGGCCCGCGGCATCGGCAGGGCCCATTCCCTGTCGTCGTCGGGGGCGCAGAGTTCGCATCGCAGTGGCGGATCTGGGTCGTCTATGACGATCGGCACGAGGAGTATGCGACAAGCAAACAGGTCCGAGTACATGGTGCCGAGGAATGCGTCTTCTGGGGCACTGGGTACGAAAGAGACAGAGAGATAATTGTATATATGTATATATATATATATATATATATATATTATTATTTTTTTTTAAATAAAGTGCGCCAGTTGAACTTGTACCTGATTTAGAAGGAATATTATTCAAGTTGAATATTTTTCATGGAATGCGAGGAAATTTGACGAGAATCTTTCGTTTTGCATGTTTAAATTCGAATTGAAACAGGATTTCATTACGAGGAATCTCGATATTACGAATTATTGGTTAAAATGAAGTCGTTTTTCAGGACCTTGCCAAATAGCAATAATTTTATTCGAATCTTTTTTTTATATATTCATTTCCATTAAGAAGCTTTTTCCTAGTCCAAAGAGCCGTGTTATAATGATATTCTGCTGTATCATGACATTGAAGTTCAAATTCGAAACTAAAAAATCCTCCTCAAACCATTGCATTTTATTTTTTTATTCGTGTTTAATTTCTTGGTGTTGGGTGTTCAAAGTTGAACTCGTACGTCCTGATGATTCAATTTAACGCTCGCAATATCTTCAATTTGAATAAATGGGATAAAAAAGGGAGTGGATGCTTTCAAGTTTTTAAACTAAACTTGTATTAGGTGATTATTTAAATTCAACGCAGAAAAATACCCAGATTCAATTTAACGCTCGCAATATCTTCAATTTGAATAAATGGGATAAAAAAGGGAGTGGATGCTTTCAAGTTTTTAAACTAAACTTGTATTAGGTGATTATTTAAATTCAACGCAGAAAAATACCCATCAAATCATTGACCTATGTTTTTTGTTTTGTTCAATTTTCTTGAAATTGAGTGTTGAAGTTTGACTAGTACGTTCTGATGATTCAAATTGTATTTTAATGGTCAGAATCCCTTCAATGTTAATAAATGAAGAAAGGAAATGGCTTCAGGGGTCTTTGAGTGTTGAATTTTGAACTTATGTTACATTTATTTACGAGACTAAACCCAAAAGGGGCCAAAATTAAATTTGAAATTATAGGACCATTACCTTTATGTTGTGAGTTTTGGGGGGTTAAACTCATTTACCTTTTTAACTATATTTACAAATCAGTGTTCAATTTTAACTAGTATGTCCTGGTAATAGAAATCCAACACTCAAAACTGCTCAATTTTAGTAAATAAAACCATGGACAAAATAGAAGTCAATCTTAAGTCCCCTAAAACGACAAACTTAGTCTTGAACAAGAAGGACTATGTTCAGGTGAGAGAGATGTTGTTTTTAAGTTCCCTTTTTTACAAAACGTATCTCTTAAAGTAACATCTTTGGGGGTAGGTCCCATAACGTGAGAAGAGAACTCTTTGGTACCAACAAGAAAAATTCGTTTTACAGAAAATATCGTTGTAGAGAGAGAGACCACCTATAATTCAAATCAAAGCCTTCAATTTGAATAAAGGATGAACAATAGAATAAGTCAATGGTTTTAGGAAATGTTTGACGGTTCAATTTCTGCTTGTCTGTCCTCTTGGTAATTTAAATTCAAGCCCGTTAAACGAAAATTGCTCTAAAGGAATACTTACTATTAATGAATTGATCAAAAGTTAAAATGTAGAAATACTGAAAGTTGAACCTGGTAATTAATCAATTAAATGCCTCTCGTAAAAAAAAAACTTCAAACAACTGAACTGGCCAATTGATGCTTCGGATTTTTCTTGCAAGAAAATCTAAATAGCTGCAAAAAAATGTAGATTTTTGTTTTGACGTTGATTTTGTTGCTTTTTATGTTATTGATTGATTGATTGACTGATTCACTGACTTCCAGCGTCGAGAGCGGAACAAGAACGAGCCGTGTTCGGAGACGGAGAAATGAGCAGGCAGCAGTCGGTGCCCTACAACATGCACGAAACGGCGTCGACGGAGCGACTATTGGCCGAGGCGT